GTGAGCACCTCCAAGATGCTTCATCTCATCCCGCTGGCGATCCACTGACGGAGGGTCCCATCGGACCACCCAAGAGGGCGCACGAAGAAGACGCTTTCTGGAGCGCCGGTTCACATTGATGCCCTTCAAGAGATCCCAGATCCCCTTTGTTGATCGCCTCACAATCAAGGCTTCCTTCACCTCCTCGCGGTACATCAAGAAGGGGGCCTTGTCAACAGCAGCTCTGCCCGACTCCATGTTGCCACTCACAACATACTCCATCAAGCAAGCCCACCAACTTGTCTTTACTGCACTCAGCGCTCTCACTGATGCCTCCGTTGAGCTCACAAGCTCAGGAAGTTGTGACTGCTCCAACCGAGCAATCAGAGTCTGGGCCACCTCTTCGCTGACCTCAGGGCAGCCCCTCACCACATCCAAATTAATCACCTCACCGTCTTCACCCTCAAGGTAGCACTCCTCTGCAGTCCAATGAAGTCGAAAGCCTAGGTGAGTGATGACTTTGCCCAGGGGAACGATAATTTGGGCCATCTGGTCCTCGTTCAGGAGCGTCCCTTCCAGGGTTTGTTTCATAGAAGTGCTGGAGTCCCCTGCCAACTGAACCCGAACTTCACGAGCAGCCTCCCATTCGCCATCATCACGGGGGCCTCGCAAAACATGTGTTGCTCCTGAGTCCAGCAGTGCCGACCTCGATCGTGGAGACGGCGGGGTCCTCCCTGTTGCCCAGCGGCATACTTTGCTGACCACAGAGCGCACCATTGGAAGAAACCGAACATCATTGAGCGTTTGAAGCACCTTGGCTTGGGCCTGGTCCCCATCAAACGTCACCCTCCTTGAAGTAGACTCCACCGTAGCTGTAGGCGACGTAGACCCAGTCTCACCTGGACCCGGAACTTGGCCCTTATTGGCACGCGACGGCGACTGGGACCCTCCGGGGGCCTTGCAGTCCTTCACTTTGTGCTGGGTTGAGCCGCATGCCAGGCACTTCTTAGACCGCGCCCCTTTCTCCAGTAGGTTCCATGTGTGCGGAAACCGACACGTGTTTCCTCGTCGGCAGCCCTTCTCTCCAGCAAAGAAACGACACAGGCCGTTGTTGGGCCTCGCCGGCGGGGCCCCGCCCGTCCCAGCCGCTCCGGAGTTATCACCGGACTCAGATGCAGCGGTGGTGCTGACTGCCTTCAAACTCACCGTCGGTGGGCTCATCACAGCTCCAAGGCGAGCTTGCTGTTCCATTTCAGCTTGCAGGTGCTGCGAGAAAGACATCACTGAATCTACAGTGGGACAAACATCAACTTGAAGACTGCTTCGAATAAGTGATACCCGGAAGGATAATTCGGAGTTGCCCTTGACGACCTGGGAGGTAATTTGATCCAACCCTTGAACCAGAAATGAAGCATCAGGTTCGGCAATTCCGACAGCCGCTGCTCTCCTTCTCCAGAGTGTCCACTTTCGAAGACCTTCAACGGCAGCATGGGCACTGACACAGGCTTCGGGGCGCTCGAGCTGTTGAAGGATGAGGGCCTTTTCTTGTAAGTTCCCCGGCTGGTACGCAGTGTAAAGCTTACACAGCAGCGTCAAGGTTGTAATAGTACCGGCAGATATAGCTTCATCCTTCACCGTGCTGGGGATCGCCGAAAGAATCATGGCAGTGGCCCTCCGTTCAACTCTAGCCCATTCTGGTCGTTCGTGCCCAGTTGACACTATTGGTTTCAGCTGTAGACGGAGAAGGGGTGGAGCAGCACTATATTGAGCATACCAAGCTGCAGCGTCTTGCATCGTTGCCCTCCACCACGAACTGCTCGTGTCCGACAGGTCCTGCATGATCGGTTCTATATGGGTCAACCAGTTCAGAAGATCTATGCTCCCTGTAGCAGGACGATACTCTGGAAGCATTGGTAGCTGAGTGATCCCCGGCTTCACTGTCTCCGGACGATCTGCCCGACCACCCTGCTGCTGAAGAAGCATCTCAATCCCCTTTGCCAACGTGGCCAACAGCTGGCTTTCTGACGATGGACCTTGGGGCATGGACATTGGTGCCTTCGAAGGTACAGGTAGTAAAGGAGGTGGTCTTGGGTTCATCGGTTGCGTAGCTGTAGGCTTAGGCATTGGTACTGACGTGCTGGAACTACATCCTTCACGAGGTGCACCACCGAGACCAAAGAGACCCTGAAGAAACGCCTTCGGACCAGATGGTGACTGTGACCTTCGCCTACTCTGCTGGGGGGCCTGCTGCACCCCCGGAGGACCAGGTAGAGGATGACTCGCGGGAACTCCTGCAACTCCAGCGCCATACATACCAGGATCTACACCTGGCCATACACCGGAATCACCACCTGGAGGTACAACCGGACCTAATACTCCTTCACCTGCTTCTACATCAGGTACGGTATCACGCAACTGAAGAGGTTCCTGCGCCACGGGACCCGGTAGAGGATGACTCGGGGGAACTCCTGCGGCAACTCCAGGGCCATCAGGTAGCGGAAGAAGGAGTCCCGGTGGAGGGCAAGGCGCGCCTTCCACAGGCACTGTCAAAACCCTCTTCGCCTCTTGCTGTTCCAGCTGTTGCCGTAGGTATCTCGCCTCCATCAGAGCACTCTGAGCCTTCATCCTCTCTTTCTGTAGCTGGCCCTTCACATCAGCCATCATCGACTCCAGCTGTCGTGACACCTCTGCCTGGATCAGTTCCGGCGACACACCGGCGGAACCAGAGCTCGATGGCGGACGGTGCTCCGCCTCCCTCTGCGGTCTTCCTGGCAACGGCTGGGAAGAGTGACCCATCGTTGTAGTCACATCGCGTAGTCTCCACTCCTCCTGTTGTATCGCAGTATGGTGGCCTTGAGCAGGCCACACCTCCACCGTCCTCTGCAGGTAGTCACCCAGTCTCGCAAACCAAGCCCTCGAGGAACTCGGCGGCGAAGCCACTGGGGATTGTCCCGGTAAGGGAGCAGGTCGAAACTGCGGAAACAAAGGAGCCTGCTGAGGATATACGTCGTCGCGTCCCGATCCGGTTGCCTCATGCACTGACGCGTCCAATCCGGTTTCGCCAGAAGTCCGCACGTTCATATCTGCCGCTGTTCCTTCTCCAGGAAGCTGACGCGGCTCATGGGCCACAGCTGCTGCGACCACATGCACCCCTTCGCCAGCTAGGGGATTCGCACCGCTAGGGCTCACAGAGCCCCCCAACGGAACCCCATTAGGAAGCTGGCCAAACCTCTGCTGCCCACCCATAGGTTGTTCATCACGCAGTGGATCCAAGGGAGATGCCCGATAATCGGGTCCTTGAACTTCTCCTTCCACCAAAGGCGTTGGGCTCATACCCTGCTGAAGGGATGAAGCAGCCGAGGCACAAGGTGCTGGGACGTCACTAGCCATGACCGCAAAACGAATTGGTGATCGAAGTCTTTTTCGCGCTACAGCAGGCACATGTCTGGTTATCGTCTGATATCTATGTCGTTTGTGCTTTGCACTAAATGACATGCCAGCATGCGCTCTTCGGGCCTTCTCGGCTTCATGCATGGGTTGGCATCCGACAGCTTTCAGCATTAGGGTTTAGGGGTTCAGGTTACCTGTATCCCCAAACCCTACAAACTAGTAGGTTATGACCCCTTAAGTATAGGGTCTAACCCCAGCCTATGCGCGGTTTAGGGGTTTGGGGTGCAGGGCTTAGGGCTTAGACACGCTTTAGGAGTTTAAAGAGCTTAAAACCGGGGCTTAGCCGCGGTCCAGGGTTGACGGGTTCAGGTTAAGGGTGTAGGCTTGAGGTGATGCGTGCATACGGGCTGACTCTTTGAGGTTTCGATCTGGCTTCGGAATCGGAGGTTTGCGGGGCTATTGTGTCGGGACCTTCTACGACTTCAATGGTTTGAGGTCAAATATGGGCGTGGTAAGGTTTCAGCGGTTGTCACAACGGATACGTGTAAGGGTCACAAAACGGCTTGATTAATATCAAGGTTCCAGAGGGGTAATTGCGAATTCTGGGTTGTAGAAGGCTTCACGGGTGCTTTCACTGTTTTGGGAGGTTTACAATGACAATCTTTTACAGTTGTCAACTGTAGCATTAGAAGTTTAGGGTTCAGAAGGCTCAAGCTTTGGGGCTTAGAAACTTTAGGGTTCTTTTTGCTGAAGGTTTGAAGGTGTTGGGCGCTCGGGGTGTGGGACTAAGGGTTCCTGTAATTGGTACTCATCTGCGCCCAGGTGGATGCTGGCGTTCAGGAAGAGCTTGCTGGTTTGATGTGTGTCGGGTTGGGGCTCGTCTTTTTTGCAGCCACCTATGCGTCGTCTGTCACTATCGCTGCTACGCATACTGCTCGGCTACCTAGTGTAGCTATGCTATCTGTGTTGCTGGTTGTACAGCTCATGTAAGTTGCATCTTGTTTTCCACGCAACTTCTTCAATGCTTGTGCATGTGTCTGATTTCTGCGAAGTCAACGGAATGAATGATGCTGAGACGCCGACACACCGTTTCGCATGGCACAATTGAGCTCTTGGGCACCATGTACGGCAACTCAAGACTCACGACCCCAAGCCCTAAAACAAGGACGCCTACGGTTGAGGGTCTAGTGTCTTGTTTAGGGTCTAGGGGGTTTAAGGTTTAGGACCCATTCTTTGCAAGGCTATTCAGGCCACAGCTTACTCGCAATATATCTACACCCATATCAAACGGACGCTCAGCCCCCAAATTCCAGCCATAGGATTTGTCTGGCCCGCGGCTCTCAGACCTTCCAATATCCCTTAACCAAGGAATATACCCCAATTTACAGTAGCACCCCGTATCATTTAGGCAAAATTTCTCGTGGAAGATCTGGGCTACTTCCACATGGCTGGTTGTCAATATTATGGTCCCTTTTTAGGTCCATGTTAATCATAATGCGGCACCGAATATTTGGGCACCAAAAAGAGACCACAATTTTGACAACACCCTAACCCCTAAACCCCACACCTTAATTAACTTAAACCCTAAACCATATACCCTAAACCCTAAACCACATTTCAGTCGCAGGAGCATTATCACGCGGCCTTCCGAAGTGGCCACCCGAGCTGCAGCGAGGAGCGACTCCTTCGCGGCCTGCGAGACCTTGTGAACGTAGGCGGCACTACCTTTAAAGGGATCCTTTGAGGGATTCTATAAGGGGTCCATGATGAAGGAGTTCTGTAACATCGTGGCCTCAATTACTCGCACAATAATATAGGGCTTTGGGGCCCATTATACTATAATATTTAATAATGGGTTTCTAAAAATAGCCTTGGTAATTCTTTAAGCCCCCCTATACTAGGCGGCACTACCACGAATTTATTCATACTCACTGCCGAATTCAGGGTGAGCATTGAGCATAGGTAGAACATCTTGTTTTCCGAATCGCACGACTAGGACAAAGTGAGGAACATTGCAAATCATTGCAGGCGCAAAACTACAAGTATAGACTCTGTCGTCTGACCGCGAGTCGCGCAGAACGCCAAAGCCTGGAAACCCCCCAACGGTGGAGACTGCTTAAAGCCCAACCCAGAGTCCTCAATGATACGGTTGATGATATAAATCATGGATTAACCATAATAAGGAATATTCCATAATTACCATAGCTTAGGGTCCTTAAGGTCATGCAGGATTTGTATCATCAACCGTATTAACTTATAAGGTTTACGGTTCCTCGAACTCTACCCCGAACTTGCAGGTTACACAGTTATGTCCGGGTGCGACGTCTTCCGGCCGCCACAACACGGCTGCGAGTGGCAATCGCCACAGCCTTGGTTTTTTCACCGCATACACCCTAACTTAAACCCCAATCCAACATTGAACCCTCAACCCTGAACCTCTTGCAGAGCCACGGTTTAGGGTTTAGGGTTTAGGGAAACCCTAAACCCTAAAGCTCTAAACCCCGAATGCTGGGGTTTCATCCCCAGCCCTGTAAAGGCTCGGATACGATGGTGGAGGGCTCGTGCGTAGCAGAGACCAAAGCCTCTTGGAGTGGTGTTGTAACACATCGATAGTGGTCCCACTATGGTTCTTTAGGGAAGGAGCCCGGGAGCTCATCCCGATAATCAGGGTTCAATGTACAACGCATCGGACGGGCAAGCCAAGGATGCAACAACAGATCTCCATGGAGCTTAAACTTGCAAAGCTAATCACCAAGGCCCCTGCAAAAGACCTTTATCATTCCTTATGGTAGCCCGTAAAGGAACCCTTTGAAGGCACCCTACAACTTCATCGCTGCCTCCTATAACTGCAACCCTATAGACCTTAAGCATCCTTAAACCTTGAACCGCTAAACCCTACACTCCCACTCTAGTAACCCTGAAAGGATCCCTCTAAAGGATCCCTTAAAGGATTTCTTTAAAGGAACCGGACCTGAAGTGAAGGAGTCGCATCCAAGACTCAGGGATTTTCGGCTCCGCAGCAGCTGCGCCACCCCAGCCGGGCCAAACCTGGAGTTCTAGGGGCCTTTTGGGGATTACCTCATAGGATTCTAGATCTGAATCCCAAAAAGGAACTACTTTGGAGCCTTGGGGTACAATGATGGGTTCCTTTCCTTTGGAAGGTTCCTTCGAAGGGTTCCTGTAATGGGTTTCTTTCTGGGATTGTAAGGGTTTAGTGTAGGGGTTGGTTTGGGATACTTTCTACCGAAACCATATGATAAGAAACCCATAAGCAATAGTACTGGTACTTGATCCAGTCCCAATATTTGGGCGTTTTAGGGCTTTCAGCAGTCCGGTGCTCCGGCGGATTTTCGGGGGTTTAGGGTCTCAGGGTGTTTAGGTGTTTAGGTTAGGGTTTAGGGGCTCCGGGTTTAGGGTTTCAAGGTGCTTTGGGGTTTAAAGTTTGTGAGGGTTTGGGCGATGGGGATTCCGCTTCGGGATTGTAGCAGTAGGGCTTAGGAAAGGAAGGGTGAAAGGGGTTTAGGTTTCGTGTGCAGGGCTTATAGAGCTTAAATAGGAGGCTACATTGGCCGCTGGTTACACTAGTGGTGAAGCAGTAACATTCGAAGACAATTCCAATCGAGATTCCATCCATATGTTTTACAAGCCAGTCTACAACCCTAAACCCTAAACGACACCGCACTCTTCTGAGACGATTGCTTACACACAAATAGCAATGGAAGGGATTCCCGTCTCACCCTGAACAGAAGCCCAACTAAAGGGGCCTGAAAAATTAGAATAGGATTTGGAGGCTCCTTTATAAGATACTTTTACAACTAAGAAATAATGTTGGTAATCATCGAAGCGTCTATAGCACCTATGGTATCCATTGTAGTTCCTTTTTTTTGGGAAAAACCATAATCTCTATTATAGGATCCTAACCATAGAACTGGTTAACCAAAAAAGTAACTACAATGCAGACTATAGGTATAAGGCCCTCAACCCTATACCCTTATAGAATCCCTATAGATCCCTTTAAATGGACCCTTAAAGGAAGCCGTAAGGGATGATATAGTATGGACCTCTTGGGTAAGGTTCAGCCTTACCCTAAGGCTCCATGTACCCATTTTGTATATACTTAGGCCTTAAAGTACCTATAAAGGGACCCCTTTTAAGGCCCAAGTATCTACCATAAAGGTACAACGAGACTATAGGCAGGCCCTCTTCGTGAACCCCAAGGCCGGCATAATCCGAGCCACTTTTCGCAGACCCGTAGCTGCACGCGCACGTGCGCCAGGTTGAAAAGGGCCTTCCACGGAAGGGTTTAGGGTTTAGGGCTTAGGGTTTAGGGTTTTAAAGTTTATTTAGGGCTTAGGGTTTAGGGTTAGGGCAAACGATTGCAAGTCTTAGGGCGAGGAAAACCCAGCACCACCAACAGCGACATCAGGACGCCTACTACTAATTACTACTACTGCTAGTACTACTGCTGCTACCATCACTACTACCACTACCACTACCACTAACACTACCACTACCACTACCACTACTATTACTTCTACTACTACTACTACTACCACCACTACCACTACCACTACTATTACTACTACTACTACTACTACTACTACTACTACTACTACTACTACTACTACTACTACTACGACTACGACTACGACTACGACTACGACTACGACGACGACTACTACGACTACTACTACGACTACTACTACTACTACTACTACTACTACTACTACTACTACTACTACCACTACGACTACGACTACGACTCCGACTACGACTACGACTACTACTACGACTACTACTACTACTACTACTACTACTACAACTACTACTACTACTACTACTACTACTCCTACTAACTTTACTACTTTACTACTTTACTACTTTACTACTTTACTACTTTACTACTTTACTACTTTGCTACTGCTACTGCTACTGCTACTGCTACTGCTACTCCTACTGCTACTGCTACTGCTACTGCTACTGCTACTGCTACTGCTACTGCTACTGCTACTACTAATACTACTACTACTACTACTACTACTACTTCTTCTTCTTTTTCTACTACTACTACTACTACTTCTTCTTCTTTTTCTACTACTACTACTACTTCTTCTTCTTTTACTACTACTACTACTACTACTACTACTACTACTACTACTACTACTACTACTACTACTACTACTACTACTACTACTACTACTACTACCACAACGGCAATTACTACTACTGCTGCTACTCCTCCTTCTCCTCCTCCTGCTGCCGCTGCTCCCCCTGCTCCCCCTGCTGCTGCTGCTGCTCAACCTACCTGTTCTTCTCCCGTTGACAGCAAGAACAATCTCAACATCTCAAAGCCACAGGTCCGAAAAAAGTGCCAATCCGTGAAGTCCTGAAGCCTTCAGACCCTGAGAAGTTGAACTCGTAGAATCCCGTGGAGAAGGGCTTAAGATTCAGGGTTTAGAGTCTTCCCGAAACCTGCAAGCATGAAAGCCCTAAACGCTTTGAACCCTAATTAAACCCTAAATCCTAAACCCTAAATCCTAAACCCTAAATCTTAAATCCTAAACCTTTAAATCCTAAACCCTCAGCCCAACGCTGTGTCCTGCCATGAAGCCACCAATCCAGTCAAGTCTGCATCGTGCGCCAGCCTTGGGTCGTGAGCCTTAAGGCTTTCGAGGGTTTAGGGTTTCGGGGTTTATGGTTTAGGGCTTTAGAAAACCAATGTCAACAACGCCCTAAACCCTAAAACCCTAAACCATGAACCCCTAATGAATCGTAACTTGGGGTTTAGGGCATTGTTGACATAGGTTTGCAGCTATATAGAGCCATCCAATTGCAAGCCTGTAATTCCTACTTGGAGGTTCATGGGTAGTTAGTAAAAACTATAAGTAGGGTCATAAAGTCATAAGTAGGATAACTATACTTCTAGTCCATATTAGGGGACTTCTAACCCCACTTATAACTACCCATAAACCTCCAAGTATAGATGCGTCTCTCAGCCTCCAGGGCTTGGAGCCTGGGGTGCAAACTTATGCTTTTAGGGTTTACCTTAGCCCGGAATTACGGACCTTGTTAAGGACATATATTATAAGGAAAACATAATAATGAACCCTACAAAGGTAGGTTCTTCAGGGTTAAGGTAACATAAACCCTGAACCCTAACTCCAAATGCCTATAGACCTAGAGCCGAGACACGTCTACAACCACCTACTACCCCAACAAGCCACGGAAATAAAGGATTAAACTTTCCGATTCCTACAAAACTATAAGAACCCCCAAAAATCAAAAATTGGGTATTGGGATCTAAGACCTCTGTTTGACCTCTAAACTCTGCAAAGCCTATCGTTAAACCTTTCAGACCTAAATTAGGGTACTGTACTGGGGCCCCCTATTTCGGAAACTCACAAACCCTCAACCCCACAGATCCCTTATAGGAACCCTTCAGGGGACCCTGATAGATCCCTTCAAAGGAGCCCTATTTTTTGGAAACCCCCAAGACACCACCTCCCCTTGTTGTCAGCTACATGGGAAACGGTAAACGAGTCAGGCTGCTGGAAGGTCGATGCAAGGGCCACAGACATGTCCTCTGGACGTTTAAGCAAACATAGGTTTCTTTTGAAAGAAAGCATGGTTTTTCAACAGATCTGCTTATTTGTTAAACCAAGCCTTAAACCCCTTAATTAACCCTCATAAGGGAGGCTTTGTGCTTTCAGTTCTTGGGATTCACCTTAATGAGCGCACTGTAGGGTTTATAAAACGGTACTGACTATGATGGTCATATAAGGGCTCGAAAAGGCAAAGATTTTGATGGCGTTCAAGAAGGGCTCAAAAACGCTCAACAAGTGTGCTGCACAGGTTCCTGTAAAGGCAAAAAGGATGTACATGCAAGGCCTACTATTTCGACTCTCCGAACTCCTAAACCCTCTTTAGGCGCTGCTCCTAAACCCCAAACTCCTGAACCCGAAATCTTAAACACCTGCCCAACAAGCTAGTTCATGGTTGGGATAGGATTGAAACTTAAAATTCTTATTCCTTATGGAGTTTAAGTACCCATAAAAAATTAAAATATTACCCAACTATGACAAAGCAACCTCTAAACCCTCACAGTCCCAGCCAGGACCTTCCTCGGCGCCGTCCCGCGGAGCTCGGGCGCCGTTTCCCCGACTGGCCCTCACAGCTGCACGTGCCTGGGACTGTCCTTGGCTGCTTGTTCCGGATCATTCAGGGTGCCTTTTCTATAAGGGCTTCCCTTCATGACTGTTAGGAGGGTTCCACATTGGTACCATAAGGGATGCGGGAGCTTTGGGGGATTCAGGACCCGAGAGCTTCGAAACTCTAGTGTAGAAACCTAAGCAGGGGCTCTTTGATCATAAAAGTCCTGTTGATTATGAGAGACACCCATTTAGGCTTGCACCTGCTTTCCCTTCTGATATTGTCAGGGATGCGACCAATGGACATGTAGCCATCTAGCATGGATAAGTAGTAATCTTGTAGTGGAGAACCTCCCCCCTTCTTTGTCTCGTTGTAGAATTTCCAACCATAACAATTTTGCATAGAGAGGCGTTGCAATCTAGGGCCTTGGGACGGCTTGCCTTCTCTCCCTTTCGTGCTCTGGGTTGTTGTTCTAGAGTCAGATATAAGGCTGCCACTCAATGCCGAAGTCAAGCGTCCCACGGAGTACTCGACTGTGCCGGCTTGCACCAGTGCCTCTTTTCCCCAAGCCATACAACAATCAGTCCTTATGAATTCTTGCAATCTTGTGGAAACAGAGCAACTGGAAGCAACTGCTACCTACTGCTACTACTCGTCCGACTCCTCCTGATCTCTTACTCTGCTCCTATTGCTACTGCTCTTACGACGACGATGCTGCCGACGACGACGAAGACGACGACGACTTCTACTCCTGGTAGTACTTCTATTGCTGCTGCTGCTGCCAAAGCGACTGTTGCTGCAACCACTGCTGCTACAGAGGCGACTATCACGACCCCTGCCACTCCCGCTATCCCTAGTCATGCCATGGCCACCACCATAACACCACCACCACCACCACCACCACCACCACCACCACCACCACCACCACCACCACCAAGACCACCACCAAGACCACCATCACTACGACCGCACCACCACCACCACTACCAAAGGCAGTAACACGGCCACCGCCCTCAGCCTTCATCAAGCATTCCGCACGCACCGATCGCGCAATCCAAGCGTGCAAAAGTGAAATATGGGGGCCTTTACCTTGAGAGTAGGGTGCATTATTAACACATTCTCATTGTAGTGTGTATATATATATATTTTTTTTAACAGGGACGTTATACAAAGCAGTAGCTATGGCTACCAGCCTATTACTTAATTGCCCTTCGAAGCAAAATACGAATCATATCGTTAATGACACCGCTAGAATATTTTATGAGAAGAATAAATGGCAAATCCTTCCTCGAAGCACAAACCCTAAACCCTATTACAGTAGCCCTCCGAAGTCTCAAACGAAGTGCCTCGGCGGCTTTGGGTGGCAACCACGCGTAGCCAAAGCCCAGGCCCTCGCCATTCTCCAGCGCGCCTTTCCTGGCATTTCTCACCGTTGGTTAGTAGGGAATGGAGAAATGGGGTACAGTTATAACTACTATTACCACCATTCTTCCATTCCCTAGTAACCAATGGTAAGATTTCCGGCTTCCGAGCCCTTCTTTGAGATTCTGTGTCTCACTAGGGTACATGCAGAGCTTTTGTATTTGTGTCTGCATATACACACCTATACCTATACAAACATACATACATACGAACATACATACGAAGGTAATGGAGATGGTCCCTCGGAGCTCAGGATCTTGCGGGCCTGCCTGCGGGGAGGTGAAGGACGTAGCAAGACATCGGGACCGTAATGGATGGTGTGCAATATATATATATATATATATATATATCTATGACCGGTGAATAACACGGACAGGAGAGTTTGCAAAGACTAGCCTCAAGATGTGGTGAACCGACCCCCCCGCCCCCAAGCCAACTTTATCCAGGCTCGTGTGGCACCGCAGCTGGATGTCGGACCGGGGCAGACCACATGCATCTGCCAGAGCTTCCACCAAGCCTTCCAGCACATGGTTTAGCGTTTAAGATGTAGGGAATTTCCTCCAGCCCAGGTGTGTTTACACATGCAGCTAAAATGGGCCTGACGCCATGTCAGGAGCACGCAAAACAGAAGCCCTCAAACACTTGAAACCCTCGAGCATCTACACCTACGAGTCTCTGAGCCACACCTAGACCTATAAGAGTAACCTAGGAACAAGGTAACCCAAACCATAAAAAAGGGAATAAGGGCTTACCCTGGGTCCAGACCCTAAACCCTAAACCACCCAAACTAGCCTGGATCCTCGAAATAGACCATAGACCCGACCTTGTCGTGCGATCTTCAAGGCAGAAGGGTCATGAGGCAAGCTCCCCAGCCAAACTTCCGCCAGAGGTCCATCGCTCATGAGCAAGCTACTCTGAACACAGAATATACCTCAAATCATGAACCCTGAATCCCTTAAGTTAAGGAATATACCTTAGAACATACTAAATTTCCTACTATAATTGACGGTATATTTCCTCAATTAAGGAACAAACCTCGAATCATATCAGGGATCCTACAACAATTCAAGGCATATTCCTTCATTGAGGGATTCTGGAAGGTCTGGGTACTCTGAGCCCTAAATCCTCTACAAGGCGGTGGGATGCAGCAATTTGGGGTCGATAGGGAAGATCCTGGCCAGGCAGGGTTTAGGGTTTAGGGTCCGAAACCCTAAACCCTGAGGTCCCTAAACCCTACAGGTTTAGGGGATCAATTGTGGGCGGCTGGGCTACCACTGTAGATTTGCGTCCTCCGCCGGGCTTTCCGGTACTCCTGCGGTTGAGCGTTCCGCTTTGACCTTCAGAGACGAATCCTGGTGTCAAGGGGTCGGGCTTTAGGGTATCATCCAGACCATAAAGGAGCGACCCCCTGAGCCCAAACTGTCAGCATCAAAACTATATAAGGAAACCACATGAACGTGGCCTAGGCAAAGACACGCGAGTCCTCACAGCCTTTAAGTTCTTTTAATTTCTGCAGGGAAGGTTAGGGCTTAGGGCCGTTTAGGAGTTAGGGACACTAAGTAAGCCTTAAAGCCGAGAAAGAGGATGTTCGAGGTTTAGAACAAAGCGCCTTGACACAATAAGTTCTTTTAATTTCGGCAGGGAAGGTTAGGGCTCAGGGCAGTTTAGGAGTTAGGGACACTGAGTCAGCCTTAAAGCCGAGAAAGGGAAGGTTCGAGGTTTAGAACGAAGCGCCTTGACACAACGACCGAATTGGCTTCGAAGAGCTGGGAAGAAACCAACATGCGGGATTGCCATGCAGAGGAAGCACATGTGAGATATCGGATTCAGCACTGTGCATTTGTTCATACAGACAGATACATATACATATGTTGATATATATATATATGTATGTATATATATATATATACATATACATATACACATACATATGTAAGGATGCATTCATGCATGCATGTGCGAATGTAGGTATGTGTGCGCTTATAAGTACAAGTATACACATACAACGTTGTACACAAACACATCTACACTGTACGTGCTATGTGTCCGTGCATATACATGCGTGTGTAAATACATGTGTATATACGTATCTATCTATATATATATATATATGTCTGTCTATCTGCCGATGTGTCTATCAGTCTACCTGTCTGTCTAATGCTCTTTTTTCTATCTCTCCATCTCTATCTATCTCTGTCACCGTCGAGGAGGTGGTCCCCTAAGCCCCAATACCTTGATGTTGGGTCCTTTGGGTCCTTAGGGTTCTTGACCAAGTCCAAAGACCCTCCAAGTGCAGCCTGTGCAGTGACACTTAGCTTTTTCCGGAGCGGCTGCGGCTGTTGAGGTGCAGGTACATTCCTCTCCCTAAGGCTCCATGTACCCATATATAGGGACTCCTTTAAGGCTTAAGTACCGACTATGTGGGCACATGGAGCCTTAGGGTCTGGCCGCTTAGGACTTTAGGAGTTACCCTCAGGGTCCTCAAGCCCAACACAAACCACTTTCGGACTTTCGGGGCACGAAGTCACTGATTGTGGCATGTAACACAAGCCCTCCTACGATCCCTAATAAACTTCATGGTGGTAACCCCCTAGAATTCATACTTCAGCAAACACGACACACCATAGGGCAAGAAGGGAGAGCTTTCTTAGAGCTAAGGCACGACAATTCTCACACCCCATATCATACGTGAAACATATATATATATATGTATGTATATGTCTATGTCTATGTATATGTATATGTATATGTATATGTAGGTGTACACATATATATATATATATGTATTGAGGGTCCGTGGGAGCTCTGTTTCGAGACGACATGTTTCTGGGCGTATGGCGTCACAGGGCTTCGAGGGCCCAGCTGCTGCCGGCAACTAAAATTATCGAAACCGATCTTCGGCGAGCATCGCCATGTCCAGCGGAAGCTCATTTATCCGAGCAAGTGAAGGGTTGCTGTCACATAACTATCTAGTTGTGATATTATAGTATTGATATGAATGTATATGTATATACAAATATGTATATATATATATATGTATGTTTGTATGCATGGATGTATATATATATATATATATATGTATGTACACACACATGACAATCATAACGAATAATACATATGACGGTTGTAGGAATCGGATCTTCTGCCTCCAAGCCGGGGGGCTCCGAACGGGAGTTTCCAAAAATAAGGGACCCTAATATAGTACCCTAATTAGTAGGATCCTTATTATAGGGACCCTAAAATAAGGTATCCCTACTTTTTGGAGCCTCCGAATGGGTTGAAGTGGAATGTTGCGCCTAGGCACCAACTTCTTGCTATTGACAGGGCTTAGAGTTGAGGGTTTAGAGCGTAGGGTTTACAGTTTAGGTTTTAGGGATCTATGTACATCATCCTGGCATCCTGTGGCGTAAGATGGCCTAAGCCGTCACTCTTTGTAACTGATGCGTTCAGTCACCTGTGCTTACTGTTGAGGACGTAAATCACGAGCACATCTTTAACTTAGGGGCTGAGTACCCTATCCCCAAAGAGGCAGACATTTTGAGTTATAGTAGGATCATCTAAAACCGCAAAAGGTTAAAGGTTACTTACTCAGCTACACTGTTAACCTTGTCGAAGCTGCTCAGAGATTTGCAGTATGCCGTGAGCTCCATGAGCTCAGGAAGGTAATGGCTGAGCTGACAAACCAGAATCCTCGAACACAGGAGCCTTACCTAGAGGCTCCATAGTAGTTCCCTTTTGGGGTTCATATTTTGATTTTCCAAAAAGGAAATCCCAAGAGGGAGCTACTGTGGAGCCTGTGGGTAATAATCAGAACAGGGTTTTCTGTTAGGTGTAGATCTGTAAGAAGGGACAGTAAGGAATCATATTGGTAGACATGTATTCCGGCCCCCTATACTACCCAGTGATTGAGTGTTAGTAATGCGTAGGGTTTCATTCATTGGGGTGTATCGTAGTGTGGTTGGGCCGCCATCAACGAAATTCAAGGGAGCACCTCTACCCCATTAGAGTAACACGTCCTGCTCCAGCCTCAAGGGACGCCCTCGGAGGCTGAGTACCCTAGCCCAAAATGGTTGACCTTTTGAAGTATAGCATTATGTATATAAAAACCCCAAAAAGCACAAGGTTACCTACTCAGCTACTAAGAACCACATATGCACCATGTTAAACTAAATCGTGTTTCCTAGACCCTCCATGCACATTCCATCTGACCCTAAGCCTACTTAAGGGTACATGGAGAGTGTTCAGGTTAGGTTCGTCAGTAGGTAGCAGGCCTTTGCTGCCAGGATTTCTCAAGAGACTCAGAGGGCAGCGCGTCCAACTTCGAGTAATGGCCACCCGGTACGCCTTTTGGGGTCTCAGTACCGGACGTCTGCGTATGTACTTTTGTCAGGTTGTGGGTTTTTCGGATGTAAGGGTTAAGACGCCATTGTGATTTATCTGTATCATGACCTCTGTAGCGGAAAAGACGTCGGTAGCGAATTCCCGCCCCAGCTAGGCTATTGAGGAAGAGTCGTTGGCGAGACTCATCTCCTGATCCCACAGCAATTCCTATATTCCATACTTGAAGTCCTCTTTGAGTCCCCGTATGAGTTCGGCAGACCCTCTCCCCCGGGCTATGTTTGAAGCAACTTCCGTTATGATTGTGGGCAGCGCCATGACGACGACAGACGACGACAACAAGTCTTACGAACGGCGAACACTGGGCATACTGAGGGTTCGCGGAAACTGCACTTCGAAGGCATGTACTACTACTCCCAGCTTAGGCATATATCCTGCCTCGGGGGGTGTCGGATACGTCTCCCTCTACCTACAGCCATAATTACCGTTTGCAGCTACCTGAGGCTCTATGTGATCATACGAGCTACAGATGGACCCCAAAGTCGCACAAACACGCACGCACATACACACACTGTCTCCCCCCCTCTCTCTCTCTCTCTCTCTCTCTCTCTCTCTCTCTCTCTCTCTCTCTCTCTCTCTCTCTCTCTCTCTCTCTATATATATATATATATATATACATATATTTTGTATGTATATATGTATGCACACACACACACACATTCCACATACATACACATGTCTGTATGTATATATTTATATATACAGACATACACAGTTACTAACTTGTTTTATGCGTTTGCTTATTTGCTTGACTTTCCATGTTGTCAACCGTCTACCAATCACTTTCGAGGCCTAAAGTAAACACGACGTTGTCTGTGCAGTGCGTTCGTTTTGGGAGACGACATGACCGCTGTAAGTAGGGGCCCTATTCCCTCGTACTATGAAACCCTGTACTTGGAGGTTCATGGGTAGTTATAACCCTAATATGGGTTATAACTATATAGTTATACTACTTATAACCCTACCTTTAACCACCCATGAACCTCCAAGTATGGTATATGAACCTTAAACCCTTTTAGGGTGCATCTGTTCCTTAAGGTTGGCACCTGCCGAGGTCGACAGGCTTTGGGTTCCCGCCTACAGGAGGGTAGTCGAAGTACCTCTCCAAGGCGATGACGA